GAGATCGTTAACACACGGTTAAATTCTTTTGTCTTTTTATATCGTCTGTGTCACTTTTCATCAGAGACATCCCAGAGGTCTTGGAGGTGGAGAAGAAATTCCAAATATGAGCGATCAGATGGTTGCAGTGGGCACAGCAATCCTGGAAGAACCAATGTGGTTGATCTCCATCTCTGCTGAGACTGCAGATGCTTGGCTCAGAATTTGGCTTGAACAGCCCATAGGGCCAACCTGGCCTGTATCAACAGTCTGGCTGCTGTTGACAATGTAAAAATAATAATATGGGCAATGTTTTCTTGGATCATTTTAAATACCAACAAATCATTGTTGCTGTTCTTTACTGTCACAACCTACCCTTTTCTAATGACCACCTGAGTGCCCCTCCAAGTCACAATCATGTAAATAGAGAAAACAATAGTACCAAGCATTCTAACCAGTGGGTGGTATGAAGGAGGATGCAATTGATGTTTCTTTCGGAGTAATTAATGTTTGATTTTAATTAGGGCTATAGAGTAATCCATCGATTAACCAAGAAATCATATAAGAAATACTTTTGTCTTATTAATGAGCCTTTGGAAAGCTTCATCAAATACATATTATATAAATAATATACAATGATTACTGTCATATAGATAACAGAAAGCGAGAAAGACCAAGACTGGTGGGTGAGCTCCATTTCCTCACATCAGCAGAGAGAGCGTGGCACACTGTGATGTATAATAATTCAAATATGTCAATAAAAACCAACTCTGCTTTCAAGAAGAAAAATAACACAGGAGGGTTTTTTAGCTCTGATTCTGTCTGGTCTCTAGTTTTTTTCTTGAATTGTGCAGGGCTTGTCTGCATCTTGCACTTGGTATACATGACGTGACCTGAACATAGGACAAGGACTATCAAAATAAAACAGGAAGCACAACAAATAGTCAGACGTGGACGAAGACACACAACCTTAATGCTGGGAACAGGAGGGCATGACTGATTTGGAGAGACAGAGAGGGCACCTGGAACACGGAGTCAGAAACCTAAAGACTAAAAACTATAACATAAGCACAAAAACAATAAAGAGAACCAAAACAATGACTGACACAAAACCAAGGAATATTAACAAAACTCAAAAAGACATGAACACTGGGTCACCACACCCAGGACCATGACAATTCCTCTGCAGATGATCAGTCAGCTGTTTGACAATCACTCTTTCAACAATTTTTGAGATAAAAAGAAGCTTGGAGCTTTTTAAGTAATGGTTTAAATACTGCCAGCTTGAAGGTCTGTGGTACATATACAATCATTATAGATAGGCTGATCATATTTAGGACTGAAACTTCATTAATGGTAGGACTTTTATGAGCAGTCTTGTATGAATGGGGTCTGAAAGACACATTGATGGTTTGGAGGACGTAATTACTGAAGTTGACTCAGATCAACTGGAGGAAAACAGTCTAAATGAATATCAACGCTACTGAAAGTAGCTGTACATAATTTTATGTCTGTGAGATGGTTATGAGTAATTTTGTCTCTAACCTCTTAGGACCTGACGTCCACATATGTGGACATCACATTTTGGGTTGTCTAGAACAAAATACTAAACTTTGCTCTACAAGGGCCTGATATCCACTCATGAGGACATGCTGCCACTGTTCTATCGACGTTTTAAACGAATGTCTTCATATGTGGATCTCATTTTTCTCAGAAACTAAAATCAGGTAATTCTTTGTTTTTGCATTCATCAGGTCCCAATCAGCCCAAACAGCAAAGAGAGATTAAAAATGCATGCCATGAAAGAGTTCAGGTCTTAGGAGGGTAATGGTGAAAATGATATCTGGGAAGAAGTTCATGAAGTCATTACAAGTTTATGTTAAAAGGATGTTTGTCTCAACAGCGCTCTGGCTACAGCGATGAAGAGAAACTTAGGGTTGTTCTTATTTTCTTCAATCAGTGATGAATAGTAAGATGTTCTAGCTTTGCAAAGGGCTTTCTTATAAAGCAGCAAAGTGTTTCTAAATGATCTTCTACATTTGTGATACGCCATTTTCTCTCCAGCTTACGATTTAGCTGCCAGGGAGTCAGGTACTTCTGATTTTAAAGCTCTATTGTTCACGGGAGCTACAGTATCCAGTGTCATACGTAAAATTATTAACAAGATAATCAACCTCTGTTGGAGTAGTGTTCAGGTAGTGTTGGTACAAGGCATTGAAGAAGATAACTGTGGCTGAAATATATTCTTAAACTGAGTTAAAGCGCTTTGAGAAAGACATCTGTGATGAACTCTACTCCCCACTGCTGTGTGATCCATTCTTGTAAATTCACGTTATTAGGAAATGATCAGACCAAAGAGGGTTTTCAGGAAACACTGTTAAATGTTCAGTTTCTATGTCATATGCCAGAACAAGATCTTGAGCGTGATTAAAGTGGTGGGTGGGTGCTTTGCCGTTTGCTGATAGAAATGTTGCATTTAAAATTACCTGATGCTTAAAAAACATGACTCCCTTTATGCTCGCTCGTCTTCTACTAGGGGTTAAAAAAAACAAAACACAGTCCCACTTTAACACCTGACTTCCTGACTTTGAAAACACGGTTCTGACTCTCTCATCTTTTATGCGACATCCCCTGATGATTCATATACAAACAGGACTAACTTTTATGTGTTGCTGTTCCGCAAATTGGCAAAAGTAATGAGTCTGTTTTGAAAATGTAAGGAGTAGAAAGTTGAGATATTGGTTTAAAAATAGTTTTCGTTCAAGCCCAGACCTGAGGAGAGCAGCTGCTGGGCTTTGGGAGGGAATATTGTCCCATTCTCATCTTTCAGAGCACTGCAGCTGTTCAGCAGTCCCTGGTCTCCATTGGCCTTTTTCAGTTGTTCAAAGGTTTGCACTACAGACATGCCAGTTCAGCACCTGGACCTTTCTACTAAAAAGCCATTCTGTTTTCCAAATAGAAATAAACATTTTTATTCTCCTGACTTTAGAGCAGTTTTCCACTTTTCCTCAGTCCGTTTTAAATTAGCTTTGATCCAGACAGGATGGCTGTGTATATATTTTTTTTATTTATTTACTGCATATAATTGTACTTTGAATTTGAAAGGTAACAAACGGGTATCAGTGCTACTAACACATTTACATTGGCTGATTGCACTGATGTTAAAGTTTTACTCATAACTAGTAACACATGCATTAATCACTGCTTCACAATTCCAGCCCCTATTTTCAGATACATTTCTACTTCCTTCCCCAAATCTCCTCTCCCTCTTCCACCATCACAGGATTGCTGTAATCCTATTTGAAATGGCGGATGAGACAAACATGGGAGGGAGGGAGAAGTGAGGCGCCGCAGAGGCTGCAGGGAAACCCAGAGTGGAGCTGCAGTGTAAAGTGGAGCTGGACTGACCTAACTGCTTTGAACACAGTTAACTTACTGAGAGTCAGCAACTTCAGCTGTGCCTGTTGAATCAACCGCCCCACAACTGTGAAGCATAAGGATGGATTTTTCCTTTGAATGAAAAAAGCAAAACCATAATGTGTAATGAAATCTAAAGCTTCTTTCTTTCACTGACATTCACTGGTCTATGAGGGTCGAGCACGAAGCTGATGTTACAGGAGCCACATGGTTGATTTCAAATCCCAGTTAGCATAAAGCTAGTATAAGATTCAGAGTTTAGCACATTACCTTAAACATCCTAAAAAGCACCTGATGTAACCCAACAGGAGCAACACACCCTGTTAACAGCATCACCGAAAAACTTCACCACAGTGCTGCAAACTAGTTTAGCCTGCAAAACGTTTTTTTTTTTTCATGCAAACTTTCAATAGCACAAACTTAAGTTTTGAATGTTTTTTTCCACAAAACAATTCAGCAACACATTGTTTATAGATCTAATATCCAAGTATAAACTAAAATAAATTAGAACATTATATGTAAGATTTGCTTTTTCAAACGATAAAGTTTCACTTCCTGAGCAGCCCTTACCTTTGAAAATAATTCATCTTACAGCTTCCTCCATCTCAGTGTCATTTTTCTCAATCACTAGGAAATAGAGCAGCTGTCCATGAGCTAGCAGACACACTTGTGACAAACTGCACAGATGTACTTTATGATGGTTGTTGAGCTCTTTAAAAAGCTGCATCTGAAATTACCTTGCACTAAACCAAGCTGCCATAACTCCCTCTACTGCAAAGTCTGGAGGACACATGAAGTTAAAACAAAGTGCCAGCAGGGCAAACCACAGATTAAGCCTCCAAATAAATCGTAGGGATTTATTCACGATTAACTTCCACCATTAAAATAAATCGGAGCAGAAAAAGGAAGTGGTTCAATGTCAAGGTCTCCAAGGCCACAACAAAACCTCACTCTTACTAGAAAGTAAAGAAACACCATTCTCAAGATTGAAACCAAAACTCTAATGTCCAAGCTCCTTGGCTGCCCACAAAACAGGACAGAAATGTGCATAAAAATGTCAGAGCTCCTACCGAGCTTCTACTAATAAAGAAATTGCCGCACCAAACAGCCAAACAAAGATTTGTCACCTTTATCACTTTAACTAAGTAAATAACTAGAAGTTTACATAACTACTATTACTACTACACACAGTATTAGTAGAGGCCAAATGGACAGAAGCGCTTGCTGCTCTAGCTTTATATGTGAAACCTGAAAGGAGAAAGTAGCTTTCTTTGAGAAAGGTCAGTGAATGCAACATTAACCTTCTTCTGGAGCACATCTAGAAAGCAGTAGGCTGTTTGATATTGCATTTTCCTTTTATTTTCCTTTTTTTTTTTAACAGTTGTAGTCAAATCTGTGGAGCCTGCATGTTGTCCCAGCACTTGTGTAGGTTCTCTCTGACTTCCTCTCACAGTCCCATCACATGCATGAGTTGCGTTTTCTGGCAATCCTAAATTGGCCACAGGTGTGACTATGAGCATGAGCGGTTGTCTGCCTCTCTGTCTTAACCCTGCAGTTAACCTTTGACAGCTGGTTAGTAGAGCCGTGTAACTAATAGAAATGAGAACTTTTCCTAATAAACTTTATTAATGCATAAGATGGTCTGCTAGCAGCAGTGGCTGTATTATAAACTCACACACATGTGTAGATGGAGCTAACATTCTCATGTCATAGCTGTAAGAGGAAACAGGAACATTTATTGATAAAACATGTAAAACGAACATCGCCAGCCAAACTAGACAAGCGGCTTGGAGACGTTTTAGGCCAATGAGCTCCTCCTGACAGAAGTCTCTGATCTTCTTAAGTATCCATATGTACTGTTGCATAAATCCTTCAACACAAAAGTCTCTGGTAAAACTGGATTTTGATCTTTTCTTCAACAAATCTGTTAGACGTATTCAATGTGGATTTTAATAACGTCCCCTTTATGTATCACTAGACAACTCATTGATGAAAGTCACTCCGACACATGAGAGAATTAAAACAAGAAAAACCAAAAAGAAATCAAGTTTCCAGTCATGTACGTTGATTTTTCCAGTAGCACAAAGCAAAATCAACAGCCTCTGCAAGAGCTCGTGTCCTCTTCATCACTTCTTTGCACCCATTGTCAAACTGAAAAACAAGGGAACACCACATTAGCTTACACTGTTACACACAGTTAAACTCAGAGTCACAACTCTGCTGTCGAGCACAACACTGTTCAAATTTCATGTTATCAGGAGTGGAAATAAACTCAGTGGTAAAACGTAGAAATGGAATTTAACAACCTTGTTGAAAAAGCTGAGTCAGAAGAAAAGTGCAACACAGAGCAGAGACCAGATCCTTTAGTGATGAACAGGCAATAAATATTAAACATTTCACTTATTAAATTTAGTTGAACTAAATCTGTATTTACAAAAGTAAAGGCACGAGTTTCAGATACGATGCAGATGTGAAGCCCGTTAGCTGTTTTCTTGCTTATGTGTTGTGGACAAAATAAAGACTGAAGATAAAAAAAATTTTTAAAAAAGTGTTCATACATTTTCCAGAGGAGGTAGTTTGTGTTTTTATTTGGTACTATATAAAACTAATGACTGCTGCCAGTCCTGACCTCTCGTCAAGTTGACTCGAACTGAGTTCAAGGTCATTGTGTGTTATTGCATTTACAAACTTCAGTGTGCATGCTGCCCACCTGCCTGGGTTACGACCAGGGATGGGCAGTAACATTACTGTAATCCAATTACTTATTTCAAGTAGCGAGTAGAGTAAGGGATTACTATTGCAAAAAGGTACCGTAATTGTCGGGCTATAAGCCGCTACTTTTTGCACAAGCTTTGAACCCTGCGGCTGGCTTTTCTATGGATTGTCCATGATTTTTGTCATATCGTAAGACGATTTGTTTTGTTTGTTCCGCTGTTGTACGGCACTACGTTGCCTGGCGGAAGGGCATGTGATCAGACACACAGTATCGGGGTTCAAGAGTGGTATGTTGGTCACATGTCCATCCGCCAGGCAACATAGTGCCGTACAAGTAGCGCGAAAAACAAACTTCAAAGTAGCGCTACGCGTTCAGCGGGAGGCGTGGATGACGAGCGGCGATAAACTTGCGAAAAGCAAGTTATGCTCAACTCCACCGGTGGATTCTGACAGCGTGGAAAAGTGTGAAAACATCCACGATCACCAACGGATTTCGAAGGGCTGGACTGCTGCATGATGGAGAGGAGGACACCGCCACGGCCCTTCTGAGGGTGTTCGACTCTGACACTGACAATGAGGATTTCTTTGGTTTTGAAAGTGACAACGAAGGAGAGAAGCTGAGAGTGGATGACGAAGCCATCCTGAGCCTGTTTGTATCCGACACTGGAGAAGAGGACTTTGGTGGTTTTAGTGCGCAGGAAGAAGAGAAAGATGTGGTGAATGACTGACTTTTCTTCTTGTTAAAGCCGTGTCACTGCACCTGAGCCTAAAAGGTAGTCCGAATCTATTTTTCTGGTGTGCTGTAGGTTATTGTTATGTACTACATTTGTTACTCATTTATGAAGCACAGTACATGTTTCGTACTTGTAATTACCGCTACTTGTACATATACCTAAAAAGTTATGCAAATATGTACCCATAACTTGTTTTTCAAAATATTAATAAAAGTGATGTCTCCAAACAGCCATCTCTTTCCTGACAATTCCCTTTGTGCATATTCTCTTACATATGATAAGTCAACATTGAAACACCTGCGGCTTTTAGTCAGGTGCGGCTAATGTATGTACAAAACAGGATTTTTCCTCATAAGCACGCTGCGTTACTAAACCGCGATTTTGTTTGTGAGAGTGTCTCATGACAATGACGTACGAGCGTGCGACGTGTGAAGATCAACGATGGATAATATAGAGTACGACCATGCACCGTACTTTTGAAAATAAGTCATGAGTAAAGTAATAGGATTACTCTCTTGGAGAAGTAATCAGTAATTATTAACCAATTTCTATTTTCAACACTGGTGACCACAATAGCCTTTCACAGTTGATGGGGTAAAAAGTGCCATGCTTTGGTGGAGAGGTGTGTTTGAGGGGTTTTTGTTTAGAACGGTTTGTTTTTGAAAAGTAAAGACCAGAAGTTTAATAATGTAAAAGCTCATCCGGCTCACAATCCCTCATCATTCGTAGGTCACCGCCCATAAAGCAACTTTGAGCACAGTTTGGGGGGGAAACCATTAGGTGATCGTCACCTGCAAGTTTTGCTAAAATGTGAAAAAGACTCTACGAAGAGCAGCAGCTGAACTGTGGACAGATGGACACTGGACGCCTCAACATGGCACAAGTCCACGAGTCCTTCAGCTGGATGAGCTAAAAAGTAAAGACTGTGCTTTGTTTTATAAACTAATAAAAGTGAATTTAGTGAAGGCAATAATGTTGCAATTGAATTTATGTTGATGCCAGCAGGATATTTTACAGGAAAAGAAACACTGTTTATACTTTCTGTTAAAGTGATGTAGATTAAGACGGAGGTTCACAGGGATCTGGCTGCTTTACTCACTGAAATGTAAAGTGTTGTTTCGCTTTGTAACTACTGAGCCATGTGCAGTCTGCTGATTGTGTGCAGATGCCAACAAAACTGAACGTGGGAGTTGAGCTTCAGCCTCCGATCGTTCACAGTCAAGACAAGTGGAAACTAAAAGAGGATGCAGCGTCCTTTGAAGTGATGCAGATGGAAATTAGCTGACAGCGAAATCTGGTACAAAACTGGTAATCTGTGCATGGTCCGAGTAATAAAATGAAACAATGAAGCGATGCAGACATTTGTGTGTTTGTGAGGGACAGAGACTGTGGGTAAACCTACTTGTTAAAAAGTGCCTGGTCTTGTAGGTTTAGGACCAAACTATCAGCATTAAGATACACCTTGTTCTGAGACGATGCCACCTGGAAGCAGACACAGCAATTATTAGTCACCTCCCAATGTTGGGAGTTAAAGTCTACATTTTCACCTCGGGGAGGAATTCTGCTGATTACTCAAAAGCCAGAGCACGCATTTCTGGGATTTTACTGAGTGTCAAGACAAAACAGAAACGAAGCCACGGGCAATGAAGGAGCGTACTGACCGTCTTAGCAATGTTCTGTGCCGCTCGGATTCTCCTCAGCTTCAGGTAACCAGGATTCTTAGTCACTGCTTGGCCGAGCTGAAGGAAACAGTTTGTGTTTAGATTATTAACGACATTCATACCATATGACAAGAAAGGTAGAGAATGATTACTTTTAATTGTTCTCTATGGATATTTACGTTTCTCACAGTTCATTCTCAGCACTTGTTTTGCTGTCTGACTCGGGTTACATACATGTGTGAAACCGTAGAGGTTTCAGGTACAACATCCCTACTTCCAGTTTGCACTCCCATAATAGAGAACAACTTTATTTCTTGGCTGACATGTAACAGCTTCTCAGAAAAACAGCATTTTGTTGTGCAGTAATAACTGCTGCTAACACTGCACCGAGACCACGTCAGTGTCTGCTTACCATTTTAGCAGCTTCAGCCTCTCCTTCAGCCTGGATGATCTTCTGTCGCTGATCTTGTTTGGCTTTCTCCACATAGAACTGGGCCCTCTGGGCCTCTTGCTGAGCTAAACACACACACAGTTAGACAACAGGCGTGGTCAATGCAACCCAAGCAGCCACATTTACTTCAGAGACAATAATGAAAACTATGGCAACAGCATTTTCGCTGTTTGTTGCTCCAGTGATGCTAATGACAGACTGGAGCAGTCTGATTCACTGTTTGATAACACTGTGGTATACTGAGCCTTACCAACTTGCTTAGCTTCCACAGCAGCAGTGTATTGGTTGCTGAAACTCAGCTCAGTAATGGCGACATCATCGAGAATGATGTTGAAGTCTTTGGCCCTTTCAAATAGCTCCCTGCGCACCAGCAGAGACACCTAAACGAGACACACCAACACAAGTATGATCTGCACTGTGTGTCAGCTTAGTGGAACGACTGAATCTACAGTCGAATCAGCTGAATATTATATTTACTGTTCTGGATCAACTTATCAATGCTGATTACAGTAACTGGCCAACAGGAAAAACATGAATCCCCCCAGCAGTGCGAAGGTGCTGCAGTACCTGTGCTCTCTGTGTGATGAGCTGGGAGGCATTGAACTTTGCTACCACAGACTTTAGGATCTCGTTGACAATAGACGGGAGGACTCTCTCATCGTAGTCCTTCCCCAGCCGTTGGTACATGGCTGGCAAGTTGGATGCCATGGGTCTGGACAACACCCGCACTCCAATATTCACCATCTGCAGATCTACAAACAAACATGCACGCACCAAAAATGACTGAATGGTTTCTTTGCCACTTCTCCAACAAGTTTTGTTATATTCGCCTTTGTAACTTTGAACTTAAAACAAATCTTTCGCCTCAGTTATTATACTGGCACATCGATACATTCATCAGCAGCTGTCTCAAGCACGAGCTAGATCACTATTACAAATAACAAATAAAGAATCGAGATAGAGAGTGTGTGACAGAGAGAGAGTGAGAAAGCCCCCCATGTTTGTTACCTTTGCTTCCAGTCAAAGAGGAGATTTTTCTGGGTTTAGCTCTGATATCGTAGATGATAGGGTACTGGAACCAAGGGATCCTACAAAAGATTTGAAAGTCATAGCAAAGCTGATCAAGATTTCGAAGCATACTCACATTTAAGTTATAAATGACTTAGATATCATGTGCTGTGATCACCTTTAATATTCTTAATTCATAATCTTTTTTTAAAGGTAATGTCTTGACCTCACCACAGAGCTCACAGCCCATTTCATGTCTTTATTATATTATATTATATTATATTATATTATATTATATTATATTATATTATATTATATTATATTATATTATTAGATGAGTGGCTGAGGCTGAAAAACAACACACATACCATAGGACCCAACACATGCCGATTTGTGGCCACCCACACAGTTTCCGCCATGTTTGGCTGTGGCTCATCTCCTGCACTACGGCAGTACTAAAGCCGATGGTTTTCTTGTAGTTCTTTAAACCAAAGATCTAAAGGCATCAGTACAGCTGGGCCATGAGCCTACACAAAGCTTTGTAGTCACATGCTCTAACTATTTACTGTCACCAGGGGGCAGCATCAAAAATCTCTAGAACCAGCCAAGAAGAGCAATGTCCAAACCTAAAGCGCTAAAGTAAACCGAGTGTGCTTCTCATCACATTTTTCCTGCACTTCTCCCCTTTACAGTCAAAGCTGGTGTCCGTTTCTTTTCAGGTACACTTGTCAATCAATCAGCATTTAACCTATGCATAGCAAATGCTGCTGGGCTACGAGCTGTTTTTTGGAGGACTGCATACAAGGACATCTGTGTAAGTTGCACACACAATCCTTCACTCTGCCTAATCATGTACCTCTCAAACAAACATAAAAGTGGTTTGGAAACTGCTTTGGGTGTCATCAGGCAAAATGACTCACAAAAATAATAGTAAAAAGTTGTTTTTTTTAACTAAGAGTCAGTTTCTCGGGGAATATTCAGGGAGATTTCATTTAATCGTGCTGAGTGCAAAATCTGTATCATTAATAGATTCACATAAATTTATCTAAAATTTATCTTGACACTAGCTGTAACTCTACCTGAAATGTAGCCCTTCAGCCAGAACTGTGTCCATCTGCACCCCTCCGATCCTGTTGAAGATGATGGCTCTGTGACCACCCTCCACTGCTCTCACACACACACACACACACACACACACACACACACACACACACACACACACTATATTAGCATGACTGAAGTTGTGAAACCTTGCCTTGTCACCATCTTTAACTCGATCAATAAGTACAGTAGTACAGTTCTAGTACACAGCATGTTATTAACAAAATTCATCATTAAAGTTTCTAAACAGGTCTTCGGATCTATTTCTGTAAATCACCATAGCATTACCCAGGCCGCCACAAATTTAAAGCATGGTGTAAAAATCCCACATCTCTGTTTACCTGTGTAGGTGGCTTCTTTAATGCCATATGCCAATGCACCAGCTCCAAGAAGCAGTTTCACTCCTAATCCGGCTCCTCTGCCACCAGATGAGGACATCCGACCAGCCAGATCCCTCAGGTGCTGGATGAACCGCTGCAGTTTGTGTTTGTATGTGGTGGCGAGAGTGCAACAACAAAAATACAATCAGTATCTTGGTGCGGTTTATGTTTATGTCAGGTGTAAAGCTTAATTTTTCTGATTTATCATTTAGCTGATGGAGCTATGATGGTGCAGTGGTTAGCACCATCACCTCACAGCACCAAGGTTGTGGATTTGAACTTAAGGCTCTGTGCGTGGAGTCCGCATGTTCTCCTCCCACATCCTAAACACATGCATGCCAGCCGGGTTTTTCATACACATGGATGTGGACATGAATATTGGCTGTGTCTGTGTTAGCTCTGTGATGTATGTGGGACCTGTCCACGGTGGATCACTGCCTTCCGCCCACTGTTAGCTGGCATTGGCATGTTTAGGTAGTTAAGAAAAACGATGAATGCTTGAAAACCATATGTGGTAGTAGAGAAGAAACCCGCTATCCTTAAGCAGAAACAAGGTCTAACAGTAGCTTGCCGGATAGCCCAGTTCAGGTTACTCTACTAACAGAAGGTCAGCTACATGTAATCTCATGATATTGCTTACAGTGTGAAACATCTGCCTCACAGCGAAAGGTCGCCCTGTCCCACTATCTCCTGCCCTCACCTGTATCGTGTAAAGCCAACTAGATCACATACAGCAGTTGTCGCTGCTAACCGAGCTGTTAGTGAACTACAACGAAACTAGCAAAGCTGCTCAATCTGATGGAGCATGCTAACTTAGCCTCGTCACCAGTCACATTAGTGCCAGATAAACATGTCGCACAACAATAAAGATCATGCTGTCTTCATTCAAAACCAGTCA